ACACACAGTTGTTGGGTGGGTAAAGGAATGCATTCAGTAGGAAGCATAGTATTTTTAGCATTTAGGTGACTTGATGAGCCCTAACATCAGAGACAGAAACCAATAAGCCTGTGGCTGTGGGTTGTTTTGGAGTAAAGTTGAGTAAAGCGTTAAAAGTGACAACCGTACGTATGAGTAGACAAGAGATGAGAGAAGAACATGTGAAAAAACCTTTGGTTTATTTTTTACTGAATAATTTAAAATGTACCTGGATTTCTAATTTATTTATTTAAAGACAACACCTGCATGAAGTCTAACAAATAATCCCAGGGAAAGATGGTAGCCGGGATAAACACATGAAACAGACATTTCTGAGTCACTAACCTCGTATGTTGGTAGGTATGGTGTATGTCTTGCAGGCATTGTAGGTTAATACACACACACACACACAGACGGCTCTAAATGAGTCCCCGTTGGCACATTGACCAATAGACTGCCAATATGCAGCTTCCTTTAATCACCCTGAGGACAGAGCTCGGTGCTCAGGCCCGGCTCACAGCAGAGCAGAGGTGAGCCGAGTCAGGGCTCATCTTCGTTCCCAGCCTGCTGATTACACGACTGCTGCAGCTCCACCACTGGAGGATGTGCTGAACCAACGAGAAAAGAGCGAAAGGACTGATGAATTATTGGGCAGCGAACAGAACCTTTAACGGCCTTTGTTCCATACGGAGGACATGGTGCAGCATATTGTAAAAGTTTCCATGTTTTAGTCGCTGTGCGTTCTATCCGTCCATTACCATGAAGCATACACTGCACTGCTCCTACAGCGCCTTTATCTCCCCATGCTCCACAGCCACTGTTAATCCTTCAGTCTGTCAGCAGCAGGGCAGCAGGCTCTCTCAGGGAGGGCTGGACCTCTCTTTCTCCTGAGACGGCTCTGTGTTTGGAGCCCTGTTACTCTTCTTTAAACGCCAGACGGTGTTAAAAGGTCACTGCAGATGTAATTGAGCATTGGTGGCTGTGGCCTTTCTGTGTTACATTTCTTTTCTCTTTCTTTCTCTCCTCCATCCTTCCTTTTTCTTTATTACAGCTTGCCAGGAATCTCCCACCACGGACCATTGGGTACCCTTGGACGCTGGCTTTTGGCACATCAAAGCATGGCATGAGCATTAAGTCGCTGTACAGAGCCATGCAGGGCCAGGACACCCCTGTGCTCATGGTTATAAAGGACAGCGATGGCCAGGTAAGCTGCAGTAGTACACTGTAATATGCTGAAACGGAGTCATAGAGCTAATCATTTTCTAATAACTCTAATAATGTTAGTGTCCCGAGTGTACAGTAAGATTTTCTTCTGTTTGCGTTCAGGTGTTTGGTGCGTTGGCATCTGAGCCCTTTAAAGTCAGCGATGGCTTTTATGGCACAGGAGAGACCTTCCTCTTCACCTTCAATCCAGAGTTTGAGGTACACTACCCTCCTCACTTTTATTTTAAACTCAAATCTATTTCTAAAGTTGGATATTAGAATTTGCTCCTTTTTTTTCTTTTTTTTTTCTTTTTCTTTTTTCAATTTACAGTATACTTTATGGTAAGAGGACGTACAGCAGAACCGATGCATGTGTGGCTGATACTGCTTTAATGCTGCACCAGTCAATACTGTCATATGAACAATGGATCAAATGACAACGTGTCATGGGAAAGATGTCGCTTGTAATGAGAAATCTATAGTTCCCCTCAGCTCTACAGAACTTTTAGCATGTCTTTGCTTGTTGTTTTGCGTTTTTTGGACCACAACTTATCTGTGTTATTTTAGCACTGCAACGATTAATCAATTAGTTGTCAACTAGAGTTACTTTTTAATTAAAAATGCCCCAACTGCTCAATTTCAGCTTCTCACATATAAATATGTTCTGGTTTACTTAGGCCTCTGTGACATTAAACTGAATATCTTTGGGTTTAGTGGACAAACAGGACATTTGGGGACATCACCTTGGACTTTGGGAAACACCATTTTCTGACATTTTATGGACCAAACAACTAATCTATTAATCGAGAACATGATCAACAGATTGATCCATAATGAAAATACTCATTAGTTACAGCCCTATTTGAGTTTAGTCTCATCACTTTCAACAGCTTTGTTTCCAGCAGCAGGTAGCGGTTTTTAGTGCAAAGACTGTACACAACCTCCTCTGCAACAAGTGGCACACACACACATATAGAGAGCAACTAGCTAGTGAACACAGTGGAGCATTTAGCAGCGCCACAGCCAGATATTTCTCTCAGGAATTTAAGACCAAAATCTGAGCTAAATGGAGAGTTAATTTTGGACTTTGTGAAGTGGACACAAACATGACTTTGAATGAATGTTAATGTTGACCTGTATCTGCTGGCTGTTTAAATAGGCAACTGTTTGCTAATGCTTTCACCGTCTCAACTTTGTAAGGTGATAATATGTCAATATTGTGTCTACAGCTTATACTGCTGCACCCAAGAGGCAAAGAAGTAGCTAGTAATACTGCATTAAAAGATATTATTTTTGTTCAACCGAGGCCTAAACACTTCATACTTCAAAGAGTAGAGGCAGCATCTGCACACACACCACCACACACACAACGACACACACACACACACATTTACGACACACTGCTGTTGTGGAATTGAAAACAAGTTTGAAAGAGACCGTGTATATACTTACGGCAGACTTTACTTGGCTGTAAAATAAAATAAAGAGACTCCATTGTAGTGTGGTACACCATTTAATGCACACTGGATATGCTTGCTAGTCACATGCTGTTCTCAATGCATGTGACACTAACGCACATGCTGTGATAAATATATGCATATTCATCCTTATACACAATGCTCGTCAAACTGGGGTATTTTTCTTTTTTGAAATTTATCCAACGCATTTTCCAACACCTCAACTTAGCTGCATTCAGTGTTTTCTAACTCGCATTCTTGATTACGCTCTCTTGTTGAGAGCATTTACACTTAATGGATTCAACCCAGGGACACTGAGATGAATGGGCTGAAGGCAACACATCGACTGCACCAATTTTCACCGGGATCGTCTCATTTTTCTACAAACAGGAACTTAAACCACGAGAATCATAAGGAAAATGCTGCACTCACATATTCTGCACATAGTGGCTCTAATGTCCTCAGTCATGGAAGTGAAATTTCTATCAAAGAACTGATAGATATGCCTTGCTCTATATGTTGGTGCATCAGAGAGGATTTTGCCAGATGTACTTAAGAATCTGTGATGAGAGATTTCCTCTGTTATTTCTAATAGCTGTAACTCAATTATCAAACATTAATTGTGAATCCTCCCACTGAGGTAAACAACAAGCGTGTGCTCTATTCTCATCAGGACTACTGGAGACAGACTATTAGATTATGTCAACATTGAATATGTCATGCAATATTTTATAATATGTGCTCTATTGTGTCTGCCACAGGTGTACAAATGGACAGGTGACAATATGTTCTTCATCAAAGGAGATATGGACTCCTTAGCTTTTGGTGGAGGAAGGTGAGCCCAAGAACAACAGAAATTTAACAGTTCTAGAAACACATTTGATTCATTTGAATCTGATGATACCATATAGTTTATAGTTAATAAGCATTAAGTGATGTTGATCAAGTAAGACACTTAAGCCCCTCGCTTATAACTGTTTGTTCTCTTTTCCTCTAGCGGTGAGTTCGGCCTGTGGCTGGATGGAGACCTCTACCACGGCAGGAGTCACTCCTGTAAAACATTTGGGAACCCCATGCTCTCAAAAAAGGAGGATTTCTATGTGCAGGACATAGAGATCTGGGCTTTTGAGTAACAAAACAGTGCACCACAGGGAAAAAAACAAGTCCTACAAAGGGCAGGCGGAGGAGTCTTCCTCCTTTAGAACAATGGCAACGTCCCAAACTTAACTGCACATCACCAGGGCTCCCCAGGCCGGAAGCCAGCTATCGGATGCTTGTTGTGCGTTACTACTGCAGTTATTACGGAGCTTTTTTTTCTTTGTGAAAAATTACCTTTGTGTGTATCTTGTTACAGCCTTGTGCAGCGTCTTTGCAGATTAGGGGGAGTGTGTAAAAGTGGTGAAAATGATGGTAAGATGAGGGTGTATCTGGGGGATGAGGAGAGGGGAAGCAGGGAAGGGACCGTCAAGGCTTGGAAGAGGAAAAGGACCATCGGAGCTCCTCTCACCTGAGAGGCGGCGAAGATGATGGCGGCCGAGGCTTGGGACTGCTGCTGCTGCTGCGAGAACAGAGAAGTGCCCCACTGGTCCAGATTGTGTATCTGAACTTTACAGAACCTCAAGGAGCACCCTCTCAGACCCCCCTAGAACTTTGTTCATTCGGTAGGATGTTATTCACTGTGCTGTCTTGACGGAGAGAGACCCAGTTAGAGGAATAATAAACAAGACAAAAGCTGAACACATTCCATTACTCTTGGTGATGGTGGAGTGTCATAATAAAGTTGTGATTTGTGGTTTAAAAAATAAATAAAGAAACACCAATATATGAAACTCATCAGCAGCTAGATATAATGACACTGAGGAAAGGATATTTGTTTGGGAGGGAGGGAGGGCGGGGCTTAGTCTTTTTACAGTACAGTACAATTTTGGGTTGTCTTCTGAGGCTAAACTATAGAGTATTGTGTATTGTAGTCCTCCCGTTGTTCACTGTCATAGCACACCATCTGAAAGCACATAGCTATAATCAGATCACCCATCGTCGTAATGTTCTGTTCAGTGGGTGTACGTGTGAGTCCAGCTAACACCAGCTCCCCCAGCGGGATGCTGGCTGTACTGTTTGTAGACAGTAACGTGTTGCAATAGATTTGTGGAATATGCAAATAACTGTCCTGTGACCTCAAATACCCCCAGGGTTGTGGCACTTTTGCCACCGCCTGTCGCTCTTTCAAGAGAGAAACTTGTAAAGCTTTTACGTCTTGATACACAGTTGCTTTTCTGGGTATCATTTGAAAAGCCTGAGACGTGGTTAACTGTTTTACATGCATATATGACAATTATATATTGGTATATATGATTATATATGGATTTATATAATCATATATATTTTGCTGTTAAGTGTGACAGTGATCTATTTGTGCTGATATTTCAGCTGTTACAATATAATGTATATTACCCTGTAAATTAATGTTAAAATAGTAGATTTGTTCCTCTATATCTATATATCTATAGATATATATCTATATCTATATATATCTATAGATATAAAATATATATTCATATAATATTATATATATAATATTAATATATATATTAAATACATATGCTATATTATATATATATATATATATTATACTTATATAAATAAAGTGTGGTTTGGATGGGTTATTGCTTCTAGCACTTTAATCTGGTGTAAAAGCCGTCATGCCCCAGGTTCTTATATTCCCTCTTACAGTAGCCTGTAAAGTACTTTTTTTGTTTAGATCATTAAGATGTTTAAACCTTGTTAGTGAAAAGCTTGCCTGCTCCAAATATATAAGGGTATGC